CGAACATGAAAGGATGGAAATCAAACAATGGGCGCTTTAACTGGATTAGTAGATACTCAGGATTGATCTAAGGGAGTTGATTAAAAGACCCTTAATCAAAACCACCGTTAAATATCGGTACCACGATCCTGATGAGACTAAAAACGTATAAACCTAGTCATTATGTGACTGACTTTCTTGACGTTACTCTATCTCCTTGTGGAATAGACCTTTGGATGAAACACATCTGTAGTAGTCCTCTAAGCAAACGGACTGGTTAAGTTTGTCAAGCAATTCATGATATTATCTATAATCTAGACACATTTGAAACCAAAAGCATCCGGTTAAAATGACAATGTGAACATCAACACTGCTATACAGTTTTGTTTAGCTAACTTGTACCAATTAACTTGACTAAATCACTTCTTAGATTCTGCTGTTAGCCATCCTAATTAAACAATATAAAACAGTGTAATTGAATTATTCGTGAATTTTACGTGAAAGATTCATCATTGATCAGTTTAATGGAAATCATGAACTGATCACTATTCGATCACTAATACAAACCTAGTAGCACTGGAGTCATCACCAGTGCCCACGTACGACTTCTCACAAGAGGATCAGATCCAGGAATTTCAATTTCGCATAGGGTATCCAACACTGTTAATGTGTAACTCCAACCAATCTAAGATATTTCCCATTCATCGCCCACCTTCTTCCATAGGTCACTGTCTCACACACGACACAATCGAACTCCATTGGTCTTGGCTTCTTACAAGAATTCCGTAAAACCTCTCGCTTTCCGCTTCGTCGCTAATGAGCACATGATAATTATGAGTATAGAATTGTGAAGATTTTGGAATTTCATTGAACAGTTGTACGATTTCAGTTAAAATTCACTAATCTCCACAATCCTATACTGATGATTATCAGTGATCGTTAGATCACCAAAACTAACTTGATAAAGATCCGAATTTTGGATTTTATTCATGGCCTGATCAGTTGACCTTGAGATTACATTTCCCACCAGGAAAATCTTTGAATGTCATCAGTTAATGTGTAATTTTGGTACCCTAGTTTTGTGGCTCTCTCAAGGACCTATCGATGAAGTATAAATGAACGCGATTTGTTTGCCCGAGATCATTATATTTTCTGAGCACTTGTAGAACACACTTTCTACACCATATCAAGACTTCTTCTTCAGTTAATTTTGGGGAAACGGATCAGAGTAACCTATCGTGTCACTGGTTTATTGTCTCATTCTTGTTTATCGACCAAGGTAAACTCGTTGTAGTTTCAAGCATATCAATTGACGAGCGTAACAGGTAGCATTTCATAGATTTTAGATTATAACTTACTTACTTAGGCCTGTTAACCCCCCAATGTAATATAGGCCGCCAACTGGCATTCTCCAACCTACTCTTTCTTAGGCCTTTCTTTCTAGTTCTGTCCAATCAGATAGGTATTATCTAGAATTAACTATCTTGATGTACATATCTTTACACATTTTCGAAACCATGAATCGATCAATTTCAGACCACCATTAGAAACCTGGAAGCACTGGACGGCCGTTTCTTCCTGGTATGGGACTCCTCAGCAGTGCGCACCCACGGCTCAGTGGTCTAACGGTTAGGGCGTTCGCGCACAATAGCGAAGGTCCTGGGTTCGGATCCTGCGGGATGCAGGAGTCGTGGATGCTTTCAGGTTTCTATGGTGGCCTAACATTGATCGATTCATGGTTTCAAAACTGTGTAACTTACCAATCTTCACAACCTCTGTAATGAAAATTACCTGTGCTACTAGTGACTAGCTTCATGAGGAATCTTCTCCGAGTTCTCGTGGGAAGACGTGACCAGTGAAGTTCAACCTGTTCGGGTGTAGGCAGTGTCTACCGAGGAATGTGTATGAGGTTGCGCAACTCCGTGAATTTGATCAAGTTAGACATTAACACTGTTAGATACCGGCTCAGTGGTCTAACGGTTAGGGTGTTCGTGCACAATACCGAGGGTCCTGGGTTCGAATCCTGCGGGGTGCAGGAGTCGTGGCAGCGCACTGCTGAGGAGCCCCACACCAGGTCGAAACGGCCGTGGTCCAGTGCTTCCAGGTTTCTAATTGGTGGTCTAACATTGATCGATTCATGGTTTCAAAAATGTGTAACTTACTAATCTTCACAATCCCTGTAATGTACATATCTTTGTCTTCACCAAAACCTTAATCATAACTTTTTTTTCTATTATCAAAAACTACTAGTTCAAGGAAAAACTCAACCAGAAAAACCAAACATACATCAAACTGATGATGAAGAGCGAAAATCCACTTCATTACCACCGATAGAAAGTTCGAATCAACGAGAAGAAGATAACAGTAATCAACCAAATCAACTTGATCAATCAGACAATAATGAACAAACCGGCAATGAAATGGACGTAATCATGACAAAAGATGCTCAACAAGCAAACAACATTGATGATGGACAAACTCGAAAAGAAGAAGAAGACGAAGTGGGAATCACTGAAACTCAACTACCACAATCAATCACAGAACTGGGCGAATTGGACGACGACGAACTACGACTAGCACATATTCCACCGATACCTGAAGTACCAGATGAAATGGAAGAAAATGTTTTAACTTATTTTGATTTAAGAGAAATTCATTCTATTATGATTAATATGGATAAGGATTTTAGTCCTGTAAGTAAAAAACTGTTTAGTTGTTCTTATAAAACTAATTCAATAAATATCAGGTATTTCATACAATGTTTAGTGGCCATCAGACTGAATCCAATATTCAGTAAGAACGTTTGGGCATGTCGTGAAATAAATCTCCTCTACAGTTTCTGTGTATATCATACTCAGGGTAAACCCCATTTATGTGACGGTGGCAATTTAGAAACTACATACGGATTCTGTTGATTGAGTTTATTTCAGGCAATCGTCCATGCAGAGACAGACATAAGGATATCAACTTTTTAAAAGCAAAACGAAGTAAAGTGACGATGACAAACGAGACAATGCAATGTAATAACAAGTCATGACTAAGCTTTTGTAGTCAGAGAAAATTAAGCCAGACATGCGATAAACGAAGCAGTCAATGCACACATATTTAAATAAAGACAACTAAGGTATGAACGAATGATTGTGACAAGGTCAAAATACGAGTGAATAATATAACTGGAGAAAGATAGATTGATTAAATAGTCCGGAGACGGAGACAAACCCTATGGGCTGCTGGAGATGTTAGATCCCCAGAACTCGCTTAGTAAATATCTTTATTTTGGATTTTATTCATGGACTGATCAGTTGACCTTGGGATCACATTTCTCACCAGGAAAAGCCTTGGCTGTGATTGGTTACTGTATTATTTTAGTGTGCTATTTTTGTGACTGTCCCAAGGACATCTCTATGGTGTATAAATAAACACAATTCGTGTGCTTGAATTCATTGTTTGATGGGTGTTTTTATAATGCACTTTCTACGCTATATCAAGACTTCTTGGTTAGCTCCTTTGGGTCAACGGATCAGAGTAGCCTACCCGGACGCTGGCTCATTGTCTCGTCCTCGTTTATCGATTAAGGTGGACCCGTAATAGTTTCAAGTATATCAAGTGACGAGCATAACATGGGCTCAACATAAACTACATACACTACAAATGACTCATCCCAATATTACATTATAAGTTGCATACACTAATACGAACTGACTTTTGTTGGTATGTCTGGGAGGCATTTCATACAACGTTTAGTGGCCTGCACAATGACTTCAATATTCATCAAGAACGTTTGAGTATTTCGTGAAATAAATCTCCCCTACAGTTTCCTCGCTTGTGTGACTTTGGTTATTAAAGCCAAATGCGGATTCAGATGGATGAGTTTCTAGAAGCAACTTGGAAATATTTACGATTTGCAACTTGTCAGGTCTAGGGTTGTAAAGATTGTTTAGTTTCATTGAAGTTACGAACCAACCAATGTTAGACGAACCCAATTTTTGTGGTTCTGTTGCACACTGTTCGGGAGTCTCATTCAAGGATGAAACAAACATTTATTACTTCTAGGTTCTTAACAGTGGTCTAACCATTGAACTATCTACAATTTCAACCAAAAATATATTTATATTGTAAATATACGAATCAATAAACAGAATACGATATTTCAAAGACAAATGAATCAGTTTGCCGAGATCTTGAGTTGCATTTGAATCACGAATGGATTCATGTTGAACACTAATTAGAAAACTGAAAGCCCTGGATAGCCGTTTCATGTCAGTGCGGAATTCATCAACAGTACGTATCGGTTCATGATTTGAATGAAACTTAGCAAACTTCGCTACCCTATACTAACAATCATTATCTGCCCACTGGTGATTAGTTTCGTGAACGAATTCTCGCAGTTCTAGTAAGCATCTACAACCAGTGAAATTCAACTATGCCGCGTATGGGACAGTTATCCACTGAAGTAAACAAATAATGGTTCTGAAACATCATATACAGGTCGAAGTTAGACACTGTCACCGATTCAATGATTTGAAGGCTCATCGTTCACTTGAGCGACAGAAGGTTATAGGTTCGACTACCCCTTGTGCTAACATAAATTGTGCACTGTGGATTAGAACCATACAAAGACGAAACGGTCATTCAATACATTTATATTAAAATATATTACTGAAAAATGCTATACTCATTGGTAAACATTAGTTTTGGTTTCAAATTATCCTGAACATAATGTTAGGAAATAAGGAAATGAAAATTCACATTATTCTTAATAGAATAGTTTTTGACTTGAAATACAGAGCACTTACACAACTTTAAATTTTATTTCTGATTAGTTCGAAACTCATTTTTTCCTTAAAGTAGATCATATCTAAAATAGTAATCAACTGTGATCAATGTTTCAATGAGTTTTCAAACAACATTGGTAAAAAAATACTTGTTTTATAACTATATTGATATGCATTTCATTTGACCGTCGTCAGGTGTTAAAAATCATTTCAAAAGTAGTAAATTTACTGATTTGTTCATTTTAGCTTATTACAAAAAATGGTCCACAAGAAGCATGTTTAAAAAAAATACTTAAAGCTATTGGATACAGTGAAGCGCCAAAATTACCTTCCATTGAAATTTATCGATTAAAACAAAATGAATATGAAGCTCAAAAAGAAGCAATCAGAGTTTTAGAAGAATTTGAACGGGAAAAATTAAAAATAGCTAAAGATAAGTTAGAAAAACAAAAGAAAGAAGAAATAGCCTTGTTGGAAAAAAATGAAAAGGATTGGGTTTGTCAAATGTTATGAAAAAGTGTTTTTGTTTATACTAAATCAATTCATTTGACCAAAATTTTTAACATAAGGTCGTGTCGAACATGCGACACGGTCAAACTACACTGGTCTTGGCTTCTCACTAGAACTCCGAATACTTCCTCTTGAAGCTGGTCATTATCGAGCACATGACAGATTCATGATTTTAAATGAAGCTCAACAATCCCTATAGTAGTACTCCTACTATCTCTAGCACTATGTGATTTGAATTGACAATTGTGTCTCTGTGCTAATGTGCTTTGGCAACATGAACAGATTTACTCACGTATGAAGTACAATTACTACTGATGACAGAGAGGATTAGGGTTCCAAAATATTATTCAAGAAATATAATTCAGTGAGATAACTTTAGAAAGACAAAGGTAGAGGTGTCAACGAACCTAAAGATTGGGATTTGAGAGAACACAAAGAATGGATGCGCTTGCACCATTGCAAACCATTTTGAGCCATGTCGTTCAAGGTCTCTAACCATCGGTTACTATCGTCTCGCGAACCCCAACCAGTTAGCCTACATCTACCAACATAACTCAGTTCACTTGTCAGTGACTTTATGGATTTCTGCAATGTTTTGGTCTGGCCGACCCTAACCTTCTTCCAACCTACTCCTACACTACAGAACAAAGCTCATCGTGGCAGTCAGTGGTCGGGCATTCCTAACACATCTCCCAACCACCTCAATTGATGAAGTTTCAATACTTCGTTCATTGATCTGCTATCCTTACCTAGTACTTGTTTCCTAACGACAGCACTGCTTACTCGGTTGTCCCACGATATACGAGCAATGCTTCTTAAACATCAATGATCGAATACTAGTAACCTACGAATATCTTCTACCCTGACTGTCCATGTTTCGCATCCATATAGGAGAACGCAGAGAATTGCTGCGTCGTACACTCGTCCTTTAGTCACCAAATGGATATCTCGCCTACTTCATAAATGACGTAGATTGGCATAAGTCAATCGAGCCTTCTGTATCGGTGCTGGGATTTCGTCAGTCACCAGGCCGTCAGCAATAATGCGACTCCTGAGATAATTAAAGCGGTCGACACGCTCGACTACTTCACTCCCTATCACTGGTTCAGGTGCCAATCAAGTGCTTTCAGCTTTCTTATGATAGTCTGAAATTGGTTGATTTGAACCATATGTAAAAATCTATAGATAATCATACCAACATAGTGAAAGCTAAATATTTACCAACTTTGAGATAAAAAAAATTAAAACAAAGCGAAGCCACCTGGAGAAGACGAGTGAGTCAACTCCATCCGGTGTAGTATGAAAAACTATTTATGGTTAGAAAAAAATAAGTTAGACATGTAATAAGCGAAGTAATTAATATACACATGCACTCAAATTATAACAATCAAGTTATGAGTGAATAAGTGAAAAGATCGTTTGACGTGCGAATAGTAAGAGATTGGATAGGAAAGGTTGATTAGTTTGTCTAAAAGTTAAGAAATGTCATGTGTACTCAACCTATCAGTGTACATGCACTACATCTTTATGTAGTGCACACACTTTCACAGTGTGGGCAGCCGGGAAGTAAAATCCGCCCTCATATCCATAAAAGCACACGAGGCTATATTGGTTGATGATGACTACATCTTCATAGCTTTTCTATACCCATTATTTTGGTTTATTAGGATATCTAACTGTTAAACAAAAAATATACACTCAAACTGCTTCAATTAAGATGCATTCTGAAAAGATCTTAAACACTGAAAATAATTAGGGTGGAAATATAAAATTTAGTAGTGATTCTTGGTGTAGTGAATGATTTACTGGCAAAATGTGTAGACTATTCTTCAGACTTTCATTGACAAAACTAGCAGTTCATTGACTGTCCTCTTTCACAAGTCTTCTAGTCCTCAAAGTGCTGTGATCACGTCATGAATTCTCTCGGGGGAGTAATTTCTGTATGCTACTTAATAACAATGTTATGAGTAGTACTCGCAAAAATGGATAATAGATATATGAATTATGGTTAACAATTTTAAGTATTTCTCTATCTTAATTCAATCAAAACCATTAATTCAAACTATTTAGTATGTTGTTAACATTTAGAAATTCAACCACTCTTCAAGGTCATCAAATGATTTACAACTATTCATTGGTTGACTATAACAATAATTGTACAAATATTTAATTTTAGAATGATTGGCTTTCATTATTGAATACACAAAATTATCAATATGTTGAAGCACGTTCCCTACCAATGCGTCATTATTTAATGAAATATATTATGCCAGAATTGTCGAACGCTTTGTTAGAATGTTCTGAAATACGACCAGACGATCCAATTGATTTTGTAGTAAGTTTAATCAATGTTTGTTTAATACGTTTTTATAATTAAAAAGACAAAATGAGTGAAGTAATGCTTTCTTTTCAATTGGTTCTTTATGAAGACTATATACTACTAATATACAGTGTTCCAGTCACTGAGCTTGATAATGCCTCATTTGAGCTCAGTGGTTGGCGTTTCTGGAGAGAGTATCGTTTCAACGCACACGAACTCATCGAATGGATTAAATTTTCTGGGGAACCATTACACTGAGGATCTTGGTGCGGGGTTGTCACACTGATAGGAATTGTAGGTGACATGCATATTGGAATCACATGAGTTTTTTTACCTCAAATATCTCTTGACTTACATGTAGACTCACCTACCCAAGAGGTGGTCAATTATACGTTACCTACACACTAAAACACTTGACCTGTACAGTCCTTGGTATACGTTAAGTGCTCACCGCTCCCGTGAACGTATTTGCATCCCTGGACTGGCTTTCATTAGTGACATGCATAGCACTAGTAGTCAAGCTATCACATAAGCACTTCACGACATACATATAGGCACAGGAACTCTACATACCACCCATTTTTTTTAAAAAACACTTCTATTTATTTGATCGTTACTTAAGTCCCACTTTTTCGTTTTAGGACAGACCTTTTAGCTAACATTCGTTTATGCTTACCAACTAGCGTACCCTTTGCATAAACCTGCGCATATAAATTGCACAGACCGAATGCTTCAGTTTTTTTCAGATTTTAGCCTCGAAATTCTTTGTTATTTACGATGTTGTAGTAGGTAATACGTCCAATCCCCACCAACATCCAGGTTGGCTAGCACAGTTTCCCACATTATCTAGCTGCGCCAAATGAACGCCTTAAGTCAGATTTTGTGATCACGTATCTCGATGTTCTACAAACGGAGTGAAAGTTCAATATTAATTGAGACAGTGACGATATCATACTCAATTGGTTACATCACATTTTGTAAGAATATGAAATTAACACTTAAATCAGCTTACATAATCGATCATCTCACAGTAAAGATAAGAATCGAAATTGAATGCAAATATAAGTGGTTTGTTATTCATGAAATAATTTGAGATCTTACAACAGACTTTCAGATTAAATGCAACAGTTAAACGTTAAAAAATTTGTTTTGTTTCACAACTGTCATAATACAACATGTTTAATTCTTTCGAATTCGGTAATAACTGGATTGATTAAAGTTAGACATTAAAGTTAGACTGTTGGATGCCGGCTCAGTGGTCAAGAGGTTAAGTGTTCGCGTGTGATCTTCATGTTAAGAGTCGTGAAAGCCCCATGCTAGGACAAGTCAGCTGCTCAGTAGTTCTAGTTGTTTAATAGCGGTCTAACAATGATCAGTTCATAATTTCAATAAAACTAAATAATCTCTGTAACTCGACAATGAAAAATAGGTCTCTATTTATAATCCAATATATGCCATCTATGAAAGTGCAGTTGTTGTTCTCCAGTAATTATGAATAAAACAATGTCTAAGAACATTCTGTCATCGACTTCTAAGCGGCAAGTTTGAATCTCATTCAACTTACAATGTACTGAGAAATGATTTTTGCTTGCTTTTATTATGATTGTTATTTGTGTCTTTTCATGAATAAATATCACAGATGACATTTAAGTCATCAATATACAACAAGGATGCGGAACACTTGGTAAAGTAATACTATATTACTGAAATTCATTTATATACACGAAAAACCAGACTCCATCGTATCAATAAACGTATATTAACAACTATACATTTATAAGCTAAAAGTTTCTGTGAGTTGATGAGACTGAGAACAATAAACTGGCAACAAATTAACAGTAATAAACGATACAACAGTAGTTAATGACTGATTCAAGACCTAAGGATGCAACGAATACATATATGCAGATAGTAATCTAATTACCAAGTCATTATACAGTTCAACTATATGCCGCAATTATCTATAAGCTGTTCTCTCAAGTTACTGTTTACTTTGCTCTTCATTCGGATATAACAACTGATTCGTTCTCGGCTACAGCAGGTTGATCCTAATGGTGTCTGAATAATGGATCCTCAGTATCTTACATAGACAACTGGTTAATAGATATTTCTTTCTTGTGTATGATGGTTCGATTCTTTTGTGAGTAGGGTCGTCGATGCGCACTATTACCGACAAATCCTAAACTATGGCCAAATGACCATTCAATGTTTCAAGGTTTTCAATGGTGATCTAACATTGATTAATTTATGATATCAATGAAATTCCACAATCTCCACATCCCTTATACTGACCACTTTTCTTTTGTTTAAATTTAGGCGGAATATTTATTGAAGACAGGAATATCAAAGTGAATGAAGTACTGCAGAATTTTCTTTAAAACTTTTTAATGAGATATCAAAAAACCAACTACTGTATAAAGAAAACACTTTGACCAATAAATATGGCTCATATTTACATGATAAATAATTCTACAGTATATGTGGTTTTTGCCATAGCTTTTTCAACAAAACTGTCAAATAAATGATTGTAAGTTAAATAATCACGCTGTAGATCTGGAAGAAAGCTATAGGGCAGCCAAATCGTAGAGTAACATCAGTTGATGGAATCACTAACAACTATACCAAACCATTAACAGATATTGTATTAAACACTGAAATCATCAATCAATCATTGTTAGGCCACTATTAGAAACCTAAAAGCACTGAACGGCGGTTTATGAGGAAAAGTGTGAACGAACATGCGCAATTTTTTGAGGATTACCTCGATAAAAATGTAATGGTGATGCTTTGGAGTGCCTAATATGTTGCACACCTTTATCAGAATACTCCTGATGCTTCTGCGACTCAGAGAGAAAAATCCTAATTACTGGATTCTGTCCTTGCACGACTAATTCTATAACCCCTTTCATTGCTCGTCTCTGCACTCAATGCAAGGAATTTGTATCACTTTTAAGGAGATGGGGTGAGATTACGTTGTCACCCCCAAGGTTTAATCGTGCACATGTCTTAAACAATGTTAAGACTAATTCTGGTGTGGTGGTACCAAATTTTCTTCGCATAAAGTGAAAAGCTGCATTAGCCTTAGCTGTGTCCCCTGTATTGTTCAAACTGATAATAATAATAATAATAATAATAATAAATGTCGAGGCTCTCCGTGGTTATTTAACCAAGATGGCAATCTGAGCAGACAGTTGAAAGTGGACATGCATTGAGGGCGTAAGTCGTCTGTGTCACGTTGTGCATTACGTTTATAATGTGATTTATCGACCGGTATATTTTCAACCCGTTATTTACTGCCTATTGTACAATCGATGTAAGGTTTTTTGATGCCCGATCGAATCCTCTTCGCTCATCTTGGAAATCTAGATCTTTGCACTAACTGCGTAGATCCATTCGCTCATTCATTATTCCCTCCATTATGTTTGATAACACTGTTGGTAATAAGAATGGCCAGTAACAGGCCAGATCCTTCATGTCTCCGCTTTTGAAGATTAGGGAGAGAATAGCTTGTTTCCATTCATCTGGGAATAGGTGTGACTCCGGTGAATGCCTGAACGTGTCACACAATGTCTCAAGAATACAGAGTGAATATTGTTACATGCTGTTGACTCTCCTGGCAGCGGACACTTTAGTAAAGTCATTACTAAGTCAACAGTAAGTCGTGTATTATCCTAGCCGTTAGCTGGCACTAGATTTGAGTAGTAATCTGAACACGTAGGCACGTGGTTAAACTGATCGGTGAAGTTGATATTATGGGTCTCATCCTTCTCAAGATTGATATGACCATTTCCATTGCCATGTGGCATGTAGAAGATGCTCTCTGATGCACGTGTAATTTACCCTATTGTCTTTCTTGATTGTTTCTTTAAGACTATGTTAAATATGACTGTGCCATGATCACCAATTCCAGTTAGTCTACGGGCTGTAACATCCTCGATCAGGAACTAATGATTTGTTGACAGATAATCCAGGTTTGACGATTTTCCATCCTTAGTCCATCTTGTGGCCTTGCGTACATGCAAAGTCATCCCAGAACTTTTAATGGCTGCGTCAAGTCGTCTTCGGTATAGAACTGTGGCATTTTTAACCTGTTCGCTGAAATTTAGAGTGTCGAAATCTTTTGCTAAGTGTATTTGATCAACCCAGAGCGTGACTGCCACAGTATTGTCCCAGTACTTGATGTGGGTAGTAGACCCCTCCAATCGAGCATTTTGTGCCATTTGTGTTTAAGTGAAACCAGTATGCTTCCGTCACATCCATTGGCCTGGTGCCGTGAAGTCTTTCCGCTTTGAAGTGGCTGTTATTGTATATCACCACTCCTCCTCTAACGTTGCGATAGAGGTAATTGGTCGTTTGTCTCATCACTTGGTGAACCTCTGAAGCAACAGCGATTGTTGGATTTTCAGACAGGTT